AGTGCGGGAATTTTATTTTAACGACTAAAAAATTATTAGTAGCCAAAAGTATAGAATTGGCAACTAAAATTATGTTTAGTCGCCAAAAGTAGTCTCTTTTTTTCTAATAAATAATTTATTTTTACATACATTATGTCCAATAAAAACTAATTATCTTTATATATATACTTTTATATTAATACAGGTCTATGTACTATATAAATAATATATATTGCATATATAGTCATATGATGTTATGGAGGTGTAGTGGAAAGAGGGTATTGTATAAGGTTTATGGTGTGGGAAGTTGATGGTTCGAATCTTCACAAGAGCAGAGTATAATTTTTTTTTTCACGAAATCACTTTTGGCGACTAAAAAGTTTGGTCGCCGATTCCTTGAGTATTGGCGACTAAAACATTGGTCGGTAAATGTATAATTTAAAAAAATATAATTGACTATTGGCGACGAATAATTTAGTAGCCAAACATTGGCCCTTTGCCGACCAACTAAAATTTAGTAGCTAAAAGGTAGGTTTTGCTGACTAAATAAAATAGTAGCCAAATGTTCACTTTCAGTGACCAAACACACGTTTAGTCGCTAAAACATTCACCGACAAGGTTTAGGCGACTAAGTTGGCGACAAAAAAATTTAGTTGCAAATTGGTTTTGGCGACTAAAAAAGTGACCTTTGGCAACTAATATTTTAGTCGGCAAAACTGTTATTTATTGTAGTGCTACTAAATGATATCAAATTTCTTTCTATAAGAGTTGAGTTTGCAAGCTTACACCCGAACGTTGTGCTACACAACCACTAGGTCAAAGATCTTAGTCAAAATTCTTTAACCATGAGATTCAAGGCACTACAACAAATTAAGATTTTAGATTAAAAAAATTTAGGGAAAAAAAGAAAACATTTCAGAGACAAAATATTTTTGTTGTAAAAAATACCATTATTATATTTGTAGCAACAAAATGATACATTTAGTTTTAGAGAAAAAAATAACTCTTTAGGGAAGAAATATTTTTATTATAAAAAATATCATTATTATATTTGTAGCAACAAAATGGGATATTTAGTGATGATTATTATCTTCTTGAGACTAAATTTTATCTCAAAAAAATAATTCTTTTTGGACCAATTTATTTTGTTCCTTATTAGCAACATTTTAAAAATTGTCGCTAATTCCTTTTTTTGGATTAATTACATTGGCCATTCTTAAGGTTTGGATAAAATACAGTAAGCCCCATAAGTTTGACATAATTACATTGGCTTCCTTAAGATTTAAATCATATAACACTTGGTCTTAATTTCTTCAGAAATTCGTTAATTATGTGAACAAAAAAATGATATTATCATCTCTTTTATATTGAAATGTACATTTCACCTTGTGTATTTTTGTGTCTTCATAGTATTTCCATTAGTTTTGGTCTTTTTAACTTACAAAAAGGGTGGTCCATGTGATTATGTCAAAATTGTGAGACTAATTATATATTTTTTTCAAACCTCAAAGGAAGTCAAGGTAATTAACCTTATTTTTTTATTTTTGGAAACAACCTTTTAGCGGCTATATTCAGATGATAGGAATTAGAGAAAAATATTAATTTTATTCAATAATTATAGTCATGTGATTTCATTGTAAAAAATCTACCAAATGAATATGATGAAATTTTGTAGACCATTTATTTTAATGGGCGTTTAACGTTTGTTTTTTTAATTTGTTAGTAACTTTTTAATTAATATGTTTGGAAAGTTTTTATAATATTATTTTTTTTATAAGTTAAAATATTATTGTGACGTTTAATTATTTTAACTAAGGACAAACAATTTAATAATTTTTTTAAATTTTTGATTTTTCTAATTAAAAAGTAATGTTTTTTCTTTGATTGACAAACATGTAACGTCCCGAAATAAAAGCAATAAACCAACCGAGACAAAAGTAATTGGCAATATAAATCAGAATCTGATATTCTCATATTACATGAAATTTGGTTGTACAAAAAACAGACATATGTGATATACATTCATAAATTGTACATCCTAAACCTACAGCATGTGTTACCAAACAGTAAGAAGAAAAGGAAATTAAATAGATAATCACATGCCCTAAAAGCTTACACATTTCCAAGTCAAGGCTTGGGTACAACAAAAGTGAGTCAAACTCGATACAAGTAAAGCCCTCAGTGTGTACAAAAATGAATACAAAAGTAAATAAAACTGAGCCTTCAACTCCACAATCCTCCCAAGCTACGTCCTTCGCGGAAGCATATTATCAACACCTGAAAATGTTTTTTCCAAGTAGGGTAAGCCAAAGCTCAATAGAAACAATCTAACATAATATATGAATCTTAACAAAGATATAAGTATAACAAGCATATCCAATGCCCATGATTAAAACGAATTGTAACTATTTTACCAAACCATTCTATGCCAAGCTTTATATTCTTAATCCATTTTATCTCGGTTCATGAGTCACTTCCATCTCATTCAGACAACCAAACTGAGGATACAACCCAGTGAGTCTCTAATCAACACAGTCATTATACAAATACTTATATTTGCCATTTTACGAATATTTCGTCCGCGGGAATCGGCAGCCATGTACACTCATGGTTTTCGGGACTTTCACCTTGGATACTCCGGCCAACTTAATTCACTGGAGTACATCCTATTTCTTCTCCCAAACATGCAGTACATCATCTTTCTCCTCACAAACATCATACATATACAATGTATTAATAGACATAATCATATTCAATGAGAACGGATGAGAAATTAGTTTCAATTTACCTATTCCTCGTGCAATTGTTACGACAATCATAGTTATCCTCCACCGATAGCCCAAAACAAATATTTCAAAACAGATAAACAATCTATACGACAAATAAACAATCTATACGACAGATAAACTATCAAAATTCCTATAGGTGAGTGATAATACATATCCAATTCCACTAGTTATATAGACATCCATCCAATTTCACTTTTTTCAATACCAATTTCATTTATTTATATAAAATAAATATTTGAGACATTTTAGGGCCAACTCCTTTTTTCTCAAAAACCCAACTCGAGCATTAAAATAAACTATTTTATTACAACACAATCTCATATCACTCCCATAACCATTTCCAATACACCCATTTGAAAACCCCTCTTTTGATTTTAAACCAAAACCCTAGGTTGTTCAAAATCCTCCAAAAATCACAATAATGTTTATACAAAACAAATAACTAAGTTAAGAGTCATATAGGAGCATAGAAAATCCCCACCTCAAGCTTAGAAGACCAAGGAAACAATGGAGGAACTTTGAGGACATTGAAACCAAGCTTTGTTCAGACCAAAATGGAGCTATATCTTTTTTCCAAAGACACTAGGGTAGAGAAACCAACAGATCTGGGTGTTTTTGAAGAGAGAAAGTGAGTTTTAGAGAGAGAAACTCTAGATCTAGGGTTTTTGAAGTGTTTAGAGAGAGATATATAAAAAAGTGATGTAAAAAGTGACCTTCTCGGACTGATATATGAACAGTCTGCTCAAGCATGAGAAGTGACGCTCGAGTGTCCAGATACAAAAATTTATTCCACTCGTGCGCAAGAAGTGTCGCTCAAGCGCCAAGACACAATGAAAAATGACAACACCGCTCAAGCACATTAACTGACGCTGAAGCGTAGAATATACACTCCCAATAGTTTTGCAAACAGCAGACCAACGCTCGAGCGCAAGACCGCTCGAGCTTAGGAAGCTATGCTTGAGCGTAGAATACACTCTTCCAGTAATTTAACAAATCTGCAAAAGTACTAAGAGTTCACAAAGTCTACTCGAGTGCAAGAAATGCCGCTCGAGCGGGGGAGTAAAATTTTAGGCAATAAGAGTTTGAAAACCATGCAACCAACCTGTTCCAAACACAACCAATACAACCCAGAAGCCAAACTCAAGGAACTATAAGGGAGGTAAGACAAGAACAACAATATTGAATCATGAAACCCGAGTCCAGAATACAAGATGGGCCGGGTCTAAATCAAAATCGCTATAAAACGCCTAGTTATTTTCCAAATGTCAATGATACAAACTACAAAGGGCCTCACCTTTATTTTGCTGTCATGTGTAATAAGGTGGGTGATTTTATTTATTTATTTATTGGCCAAAGGATGAAGAGTAGTTTTATTCACTACAGGAAATATGGGTTGTAGTGGTGTATTTTTAATGGCATTTTTTAAAATGCCACTGTTTATAATATTTAACGGCGTTTCATAAACGTCGCTTTTTTCTTTAAGTAAAACGGTGCCAATTTGGTTCAATGTCGTTTCACTATCTCTCTCTCTCTCTCTCTCTCTCTCTCTCTCTCTCTCAAGTTGAACTAATGGTTCAATGTCAATTTGGTTATTGAAATCAATCTTGTGAAATCCTGTGAATGGTTTTAATATTTGATTTGAAACAATCCTGTCATATCCTTCATCCTTGTTCAACATGGCTATTATCCTTCATACTTGTTCCATAACTAATATCGAATAAATGAAGCCCAAATGGCCTACAAATTAGAGAGAGCAAAACCAGAATGAAGAAAGTTAGGCGACCACATCCTAAATTTGATGTGGTTCAAATCTATGCTACACACTTTATTTTTTAGGTTTTTTTTTTATAGCTTTATCTACTAAAAAATTACTAATCATAGGTGTAAAATTTTTAAGACTCTACCCTTCTTTTTTTTAAATTTTTTTTTTAGATTTTTTAATAATCAACAGAATTATAGAAGAGTTGTAGTGATCTTATTATTACAGATTATGTTTCTACACATTTACCTTACGTCACCCAAAAAAAAAAAAAAAAGACAGAGAGAGAGAGAGAGAGAGAAAAAAAAAGATGTTGAAATTTTTTTATTTAGTTTTGATTTAACTACGTGATCAAAATAGGAAACATGATGTTAAGCAATAGTTTTTAAGCATAATGCTACAAACATAAATTCACTGTGGAAATAGAAAAATGCAAGTATGATGCGCGCAAACCAGAGGATTGTGTGCAACAATCCCAATTCCTAGTTCTCTACTTATATCAAAACAACAATGGCAAAGATTAAAAAACACTGGATTCTTGCTTATTGCTTGCAAAACTGACTAGTTAACATAACAATAGTACCTCTACACCTCACCTACAAGTAGGAATGATTTCTTCCTCTACATCTCTTGTCCACAAGGACCACTCCAACTGCACTGCTATTAGATGTACCTAGTTTCAAACCTCTCCATCATTCTCTCCCAAGTTTTCAAATGTCTTGAAAACATTTACATAATATTATTGCAGTAAAATGACTTTGATCATATAGATAGAAGTCACATTACTCCACCACAATATAGCCTTTATGTTTCTACTTGTTCTATTTGTTTTCTGTATGAGTGTGTGATTCTAGTATCTGTTGTAGACTTTTACATTCTATCGGTATGAATGAGCTAGGAAAATTTAGTTATGGGTATTGTTGAAACTATCGAGTTTCTTTTGTTGGTTTAAAATGAAATTGAGATTTCTATTCAATTTGAGGAAAGTTCTGGAATAATATGTTTGTTACACTTGTAGCATGTTGGACCTAAAACTCTAGAGGTCTTTGCATTGCTTGATTTTTTGAGGTTTTCTCCCCATATTTTGACAATACTGTGCCTATTTGTCGAGACAAGGTAGAAAATAATTAAAATTTTAAGCATCTTATTGTCTTCAATTGGATGTGGTACTTAATTTTGAGCATGGTGGAGACTTCTTTTTGGCATTTGGTTGCTTTATAATTCACCTCTGTTTGGGTTCAAAGTTTAGAAGACATGAAACTTCTTGTAGTCATTTTTTTTTTAAAATAATATATATAAACATATTTTCTCAGTCTATCAAATTATTTGTAAGATTATTGTTGCTTTTGTCTGTCTATCAAATTTCATTTTTCTTTCTTTCTCTCATTCAATGCCCTCACTCTCGCACTTTCTCACTCTCTTTTTTGTTTCTTTTCATTTCATCTCTCTTAATTAGCGATACTGACGCACCTTAACATTCTGAGATCAGGGTTCTAGGGAGGAACCGTTTACAGGTATTTTTCCAATTCTTCAAAGACTTTGTTGCAAACTTCAAAATAGACTTTGAGATTTTATGAATTCTGAATTTGCTTTATATTTTTTGATCAGCAAAAGATCCAAACTTTATTGGTGAAAACCAACTTACAAAAAGATAGATACTATTAGTTGACATTGAAATTATATATATATATACTTCAAAAGACAAAATAAAAAACAACAAAAACAGTTTATATCTATTTCTTAGTTGCAGCAGCCTCTCAAGATTTATGTTTTTTTTTTTTTTTTTTTTGGTTTTTGGCAATGACTAGGTGAATTCCAATTTGCAGTGGTGAATATCAAAGCTTTCAAGAGATTTCGTTTTGTCCACACATGGAAAAACCAGGATCATCTTCCTTTGGTAGTCCTATATACTCTCCTCAAATGCATGTATGGTTCAATCATAAACCCAACCTACAATACATGCATATATATCTGTTTATATATATATATATATATATATATATTTATTTATTTATTTATTTTTTTTTTGATCGGGAAAGAAAATCTGTTTATATATATATATATATATATATATATTTATTTATTTATTTATTTTTTTTTTGATCGGGAAAGAAAATCTGTTTATATATATATATATATATATTATTTAAAATAAAATAAAAAAATTGACTACAAGAAGTTTCATGTCTTCTTAACTTTCAACCCACATAGAGGCATCATGGAGGTGAGCAATTATTTAATCAAAACCTTTTTGACAATACAAGACCTTATTAATTAAAATACTTGTTCTTATTAAATGTAGGTTCACCTTTCAAAGAAAGAGAAGAAGAAGAAGAAGAAGAAGAAGAAGAAGAAGAAGAAGTAAAAAGGTAAAAGTACCATTGGAAAAAAAAAAGAAAAGGACCATAAGGACAATTTATATCCAAGTTTGTGATCTAGGAATTTGATTGTTTTGACATTGGCTTCTTTTTAATTTTTAAATATTTTTTTCATAGTGGTTAAGAGACTTTTATCTCCATTGAAAAGGACAATAGAAAGTAGCCTTCATTAAATACCTAACAAGTTGTATATATCTAAGTTTGTGATCTAGGAACCTGGTTTGGAAGATAACTTTCACTCCCTCTATAATGCCTTCAATTGTCAACAATAATAGGTATGGTTATAGTGTTGGCGGTTGGTGACAGTGCTGTAATAATGGAGGAGTTGGGTGAGGAAAGAAGATAAGGGGAGGACTTGTGAGAAATCTATCAACACATAAAAGAAAACTGAAAATTTATCATCTTGACCTTTAAACTGTACATTCTGAATAATTTTCTAATTTCTTTTTCTATGTATCTATCTAGACATGCTCTTAACAACATCTTGGTAATGTATGAATTTTTTATTTATTACCTCATTCATTGATAACACTGAATTTTAACACTCTTAGATGCTAATAAAATCTCAAAAATTAATTGCTACAATTATTATTTTGGTTGTCTTGAAATCTTGATTTTTACTTCTACAATATTGGATGACTTGATTGTTGAACTATTCTATGTTTATATTCATTACTGTTTCATTTCAAAATTTGATGGTTTTAAATATTACAAGTGATGCTTCTTCAAGTTTTAAGTATTGTGCATAAGTATTGGGTACAAATTCTTCAATTTATTTTTATTTTCGCGAATCTGATTGCAGTTTATATTCTGATGTAGGCATGTAGACCAGTGAAGACTAACAATGAACTCTCTCATTAATTTGAATTTAACTCTTCCAAGCTTGAAATTTATGTTATAAGCAAGAATAGATTTTTGAAACACAATCTAGTAAAGTTCAATAGAGTCTCTTACTCTGATGATATCTTGAGTTGGGGATAATTTTTGTGGTAATAATTTGCCATCACTTGTATAGTTAGATCCATCATTATAGCTCAACACTTCTTTTTCTGCTAATGTCTTTACTAAAACATGATTTGTAGATATGTTATTTTGTGGCTAAAGGTGATTGGATATTAAATTGAATGGGAAAGTGAATTATTGTTGCATTTTCTATTTGAATGGGAGTTATTATTTCATATTAGTGTTATTTTTCAGTTTTATTACAGGCATTTTTTTAATTCAATCACATAAAATTAGCACAAATTTTTTTTTTAAAAAAGAAAAATATCACAGTGTTTCTAAAAATGCCACTATCATACAGATTTTTTAAAATAAAAAAAAATATGACGGCGTTTTTAAAACGTCACTAAAACCATAGTGACGTAATAGTACTGTTAGGGTAGGACATTTGGCGGCGTTTTTAAAAACGCTGCCTATACTAATATAACGATGTTTTTCAAATGCCATAAAACTATAGTGACGGTTGTGTTTGCATTTGATACTAAGCATCACAAAAAAAAATTAGTGACGTTTTTTTCACCTTTAGCAACGCTTTTTAAACGTCGCTAAAAGTGAATTTTCTAGCAGTGATTCAATAAATAGAGAAGAAAAGCCTGACGAGCCTAAATCAAATTGATAAGAATGAAGACACCAGGATGGAAAACTTACTTTCCATAATCGAATCTCATCAATGGACAGAGCATGTCGTGCAATATCAATTAAGTCAAAAAGATTAAGTTGTCTTCAAACTTCATTTTACCCACAAAGTTTCGAGAAATTCCATGTGGACTCTATACGTAATTTTGTGATGTATGTTATGTATTTTTGTGGTAAATGTTATATAATTTTCTTATAAAATTACAATAATTTGCAATTCATAAATGAATTTATCCATTTTTATAATAATATTACACATTTTTTTTATGTGAATATATTTTAACCTTAAAATGTTTAACATTGTCACAAAAATACATGTTATATAATTTTCTAGTAAAATTATGATAATTTGTAGTTCATGCATTTTTGTGATAATGTTACGTATTTTTGTAATAATATTGCATATTTTGTGATTAAAATATGTTTGGATAAAAAAAATTGTAATATTATTATAATTTAGATCATAAATTGTCGTAACTTTATTTAAAAAATGCATAATATTTATCACAAAATATCTAAGAAATATTACAAAAATACATAACAAGAGTGGATATGGTAGACATCGTCAATAAAAACATAAATTATCATACGGATCCCAAAGACTATGTGACTATGTGGAGTGTAAAAATGGCCCACGGCCGGTGGGCAGCCCGAAGCCTGCCTACGGCCCGGGCTAGGCCCGGCCCAATTAGGCCTAGACCAGAGCCCAGCCCGGGACCTTAGGCCTGGGCCATCATTTTGAAGCCCAACTCGCCTAGCCCAGCCCGTGGCCTGACCCATCGGCGTGCTCAAGTCCCACTTAAAGCCCGACCTGTCCTGCCCGAGGCCTAGTGTCATTTTTGGTGGAAATAAAATAAAATTTTGATAAAAAAATAGAAAAAAAATAAAAAAACCATTCAAGCCCTGCCCAAACCCGAGCCCAGGCCCAGGCCCACCGGCTCGCCTAAGGCCCGAATACTCCCTGGGCCTGATTTTCTAGGCCATGGGCCTGGCCGATCAAGTCTGGCCTAAATTTTGGCGGGAGCCTGCAAGGCCCGACATAGGCCGACCCAAGTTTCAGCTCGAGTCGGTCCAAATTTACACCCCTATAGTCCATCTAATTATATTCTTTCACTATTTCTTTATTTTTAAATCCATGTAAGCCCTGCAACGAGATGAAAAAAAGAAAGTATATAGAAGATTTGGGTTGAAGATTTTTAGCCAAGCTACTCTGGCTTCGTTTGGGAAGCCAACTTTTGGGTTTTTTTTTGGCTAAAATAGTCACACAAAAAAAAGCATTTTAGCCCAATAGGACAAAATATCACATCCAATCCATAATCATTAAATTCTTTCTCTCACAAAAAAATCAAAAAATATAGCGATCCTAGTGTCTAACCCGACTCTTATGATGCATCGAGCTCGGGTCTTGTGGTTTAATGTTGTTGTTTATGTCTTTTCTTCCTCTTACTCTTTGAATTTGAGTTTTGGAATGTCTTGGGCTTGTTTAGAACAGGTTAGTTGTGAGTTGGAACAAGTAGTTGTTGCCCCGAATTTTGGTGTTCCGCTCGAGCGGGTCCTTTTGCGCTTGAGCGGAGTTTGCATTTACTCAGCATTTTGCTCGTCTACAAAAATACTGCAGAGGTGTTTTTCATGCTCGAGCGGCGTATCTTACGCTCGAGCGGGTATAAGCTCGAGCATCCCTTCTTGCGCTCGAGCGTCTGTCTGAAGTCTGTAAAATACTGGAAGTGTGTATTCTACGCTCAAGTGGGTATCTTTGCACTCGAGCATGTTGTGCCTTGCTGTTGTGTCTTGGAGCTCGAGCGTCCTTTCTTGCGCTCGAGCAGGTAGGATTTTTGTGTCTGATGCTCGAGCGTCAAACTCTCCGCTCGAGCGGACTGCGCGTATATCAGATCGCGAAAGTGACTTTTTAAAACACTTTTTCGGCTCTCTCTCTTTCTAAAACTTTACAAAACCCTAATTTGAGAGCTCCTCTCTCTAGAATACCCTCTCTCTCTACATTTTAGCTTGGATCAAGTGATCACTTCGCTCTCCTTTCTTCATTAAAAAGCTTAGGCTCTTCAAGGTCTCCATTTTCATCCGTGTGGAAGGTGATTTCGGCGTGTTTGGAGTTCTTCCCTTGCTAGGCTGGTCTTCTACACTTAAGGTAGGGATAACTACTCATTTTTATGAGCTTTAACATAGATGTTGGGCATTTTGTATAAATGGTTAGATTTGGGAAGTTAGGGTTTGAGATTTGAAATATTGAAAAGAGGGGTTTTGTTCCTTTTGAACTACATATGTGTATGTGGGTCTTAAAATGTGGTTATTGATGTATGATGATGATATTTGGATTTTTGGGTCAATGTTTGAGAAAATGGAGAAGATGTCCTAATTGGATCTAAATGGGTCATTTGTGCAATTAATGGAATTAACATTGGGAAAATGAAATCGAGATGGAAATAATGAAATTAGGAAAGTATGAGATGGAATGGTGTGGTCGGATTGATTAATCACTCACCAATGGAAAATGTTGTTAATTTATCTGTTTGATAAATTTATTATTTGTTTAGAAATAATTGTTTTGGGCTACCGGTGGAGGATAGTCTTGATTGTTTTAGACACTGTATGATGATTATGAGAATTGAAACTAATCAAGTGATCATTGAATATGATGTTTTGGTGAATTACATTGTATATGTGAATGGTTTAGTCATTGTATGTGATAACTTGTTAAATACATTGTATATGTATATTGTATGAGAGGAGATAGGGGATGTACTCCATTGTGTGAGAGGAGATAGGGAATGGACTCCATTGATAACTAAGTTGGCCAGAGTGTCTTGGGTGAAAGTCCCGAAACCTTATTTATTTATGGGTGCTGGTTCCCTAGGACGTAGTTCCGTAAAATGGCAAGAATATTGAAGTGTTGAATGGAATTTGTTTTTGAAGTGTTGATTTTGGGTTGTAATCTCATTTCACACTGTTTGGGTACTATTGAACTGTATTAGTGAATTGAATGGATAAACAATGGAAGTGGATTGAACTGTGTAAATGTCAGTGTTGGTTGATCATGGAAAGGTTATAAGATAGTTTTGAATTGTTAATCATTTATCATATGCTAATGTTTTAATTAATTCTCATATTATGTTTAGCATATCTCTACTGGGCTGTGGTTCATCCTATATGGGACATCATTTTCAGATACAGATGATATGCCGTCTCCAAGGTCTTGAAAGGTTTTGAGAGTTGAAGTCTCTTTTTGGTTATCTTTATTTTGATAATATATGTAATTTCAAGCCAAGGGCTTAATATATAAAGAGTTATGACTCTTCTTTTGTGGTAACCAAGTGTTGACTTGGAAAGTTGTAAGCCCGTAGGTTATTTACTTTTGTTGTCAGCATGTAATATCTTTTGTACAAAGGACTCTGATGGATGATAATATGATGTTTCCTTTATAAGCTTGCATCTTATAGGAAAATGCATGAGACCCCCAGTGGGGGTGCTGGAGGTCTCTTTTGATTGGCCAAAAACTGTTTTTTTTTTTTTTTCTCCTCCTCCATTGTCAGCCCCCCACGTGGAGGTGGGGGTGCTGGGGGTGCTGCCGTACAGGGGGTCCGAAGCACTGCTCCATCTTATAAATGATTGATTTATGTATTTATGTTGAGGGCATTACAAAAAAGCCAAAAAAGCCAAAAGCTCTTCCCAAACGAGGCTTTTTAGTCCCAGGCTAAAATAGTTAAAAAAGTCAAAAAATCAAAAAGCCAACTCACTTCCCAAACGAAGCCAGAGATTGATCCTCTCAGTGTAGTAGAGTGGTTGCGTGGGAGGCTACCATCAATTTTGTTAGTAGGTGGTTACTGACCTTGATCCTCTCAGTTTGTGTATAAATATGAGATGAGTTTAGTGTTTTAAGTGTGGCAACCAGAAGCAGAGTAATAGAGAGTAGCAATTAGTGAGTGTTTTGTACAAAAGTGTAAGATTTGAGTTGAGTTGAGTTTGAGAGTGTTATCCTCTTCTATTGTTATAATCTTGTAAAATTTCTTAAAATAGTAAAATTCGTTATCGGTAGACGAAAGCACATTGCTAAGCCACATAAATCTTATTATTTTTCTTATGTGATTGTGTATTTGGTGTTTGTTTTTGGCCGCGGTGCACAACAAATTGGGAAAAAGTTTCCCGTTTATACACAATTTTCTTTTCTCAACCAATATTTGGTACAGGTCATTCATTGTCCACTAGCAACAATTTGGCAAAAACAAAAAACGACCCGTGATGTGACAGTGGTAAAAAATTAAGGAAATTACTATTGAGAGAATACTTTCAAAAAGTATTATTCTTCCGTCTCAAAATAATAATTTTTTTTAAAGAATTTAATTTTTTTTAGTAGTATAATTATTACACTTTAAAAAAATAATTTTTTAAAATTACCTTTTAATAGTATATTTTTTAAAAATTATCAATATCGTAATTGTACTTTTTATGTTATTAATGAATTTAAAAGAAAG